GTGCAAATTGACATGAAAATTCCGCATGTGGTTTTAGTTCTTAGTCCGAATCAGGTCTCGGTGATGGAGCATGTTTTGCCTCTGTGGATGACTTCATGGACTGAAAATAGTGTAAAATATTCACACCATCGGGTACGCTCAGGTGTCCGGATTTCTTCACTTAATAGTGATGAACTGTGAGTTATCCAACTTTGTTCGTGTCTTTTATAATCTAATTAATTTCCCAGAGGAATAGTTGTGAAATATACCCCCAAGATTTGTCCCAGTCAAACAAAAGCTTTTGTTATCTGTTAAAATCACAACTAGTGACTTTCATCACGTTGAGGTTTGTTTTCACTAACAAATATCTCCTACTAAAAATGCAATTTTTATAGCGAAAATATATCGAGGAGGATATGTTTAGTTCTAAAAAGTAGTAAGATTTTCTTGTAATTAGACTCAAACCCAGATGGAAAATTTTGGTAATGTAATCAACCTCTTCTAAGATTGCTTTGTCCTATTTAATTTTTGTCATGAGGATGTTTTATTTCCTTTTCCTGCTAACATTAAGCACAGAATACGACCCTCTTACTAGTGGCCGCTGTATGCAATTATGCTTGATGTTGACGTCATTAACTGATAAGAAAACATTTGTGTTAATGAAATGCAGAGCGGAGATCTCACGCCTTGCCAGCTCCTACTACAATAAAGGTTGGTTCACTTTATCGCTCTCTGTTTTACTTATTTATTTGTTTATTCTTGAAAGTGTTCAAAAGTGAGGAAATTGTCTTACTATTAACTTATTTTTGGTTATGTTAGGGAAGTATATACTGCTACCTAGAAAGAGCGCTATCTATGTCATTATGCATAAAGATTCAACGGCAGTGGACATTTTACAAGCTTTTGTGCACGCGCTTGTCTTGGCAAAACTTGATGATAAAGGCAGATCTGTACATGATGAGAGCCAATCATGGATGACCAAAAATTATGAAGCCTTTCTTCTTAAGGTACTTTCTGTGAGCACTACTAGTGCTTTTCGATCTCTTCTTTTAAGTTATTAATAGTTTAGGGTGATAGGGAGAAAGAAAAGAATGATAATCGAAAAGCAATGCTTCATTTCTTGACCAATAACATGGATTAACCGATATCTTATTTGGGTTATTACAAAAAATATATATGGTTTACTATAAATTGCCCTTTTGGTTTACGCATGTTTATTTTCTTAGAAAAACTTGGACACTCTGTGTGCAGAATTGTTTACTTTTCACCATCAGAGAATCTATTTAAATTTTGATCACTAGCTTCATCTGAAAAGGTTATATTTCAATCTTACTTGGCAGCTTCGGAAGTCGAGCTGGAGAACAGAACGTCTTTTGTCACCCTCGATTGCTTGGAAGGCTTATTGGTCCATTCTAACTCCATCAGATGATAAAATTGACTGAAGATCTTGGCATCAAGCATCAATATTTAAATGAGATATTTAGAGTTAACTTCATACTTCAATTCACAAACCATGGAATTTTGTGGAGTGAGTTATGAAATTAGCTTATTTTACACGTTTCGTTTAATTTTACAAGTATTATGAAAGTTAATTTCTGATTTATATCCTTCTTACTCGTAGGATGGTATACAGTTTGGTTCTTTGTATTCCTCTTTCTTTTTCCTTTTTCCACCAAAAAGCATCATAGATAAGGATTAAGGGGAAAAACATAATGATGGTTGATACAAGATTATACATAAATTCCTCTCTAAATGTTTAGTTTTCCGAGTTTATATATCTGTTATGGTGCTTTATAATTACAGTATATGTATGTGCCAATTTTGGTGCTTTATAATGATGTGTTGAATTTTGGTGCTTCATACCTTATGTCATTTCATAAAGCTTTAGAGTAGTTCACGTAAATTTGGACTTTTAATTTAAAGTATAAATATATTTTAGAAGTGAATGACTCTTGATTTATAACAATTGTTGATATATGATCTATTAAATTAATCTTCTATTGATTAGTTTTGATTTGACATTCATACTGGATATATAAAATAAATAAATAAATTTATTTATTATATTTAAAATTAGAATATCTATAAATACTAGTTGAAATTTAATATAGTTAATATAACAATTAAAAACAATATCTCTAGTCATGAGATATGAATTAAAAAAATTATTTTAATATAAGACAGGTAAATCGAACAAATGAAAATTGTCATTCTAAATATAATCAATGACGTAATTTCCTTTCAGTTTAAAAACTTAAATACTTTTTATTCTCTTTTCTTTTTATTTTTAAAATTGTAAATATTTTTAGAATTAACACTCAGTGTAATTCAAATACTTATAATATCGCCCCTGCATGCATTGGGGCAGATTTACTTCTACATAATATACACAGATTCAAACTCACTGTAACATTTTCTTTTTCTGCAATCACCTAAAGTTAGCAAATTCTAGGCAGGCTCATTTTTGCTTTACCCAAGCTCAACAGTAGCTAACTGTTGACTTATCTCAAGAGTTTTCTTCAAGAAAACCGAAGATCACTTACGGTGGCCTGATGAGGCCATGAGGATACTAACTGCAGCTATAAACATCAACAACATGCCCACGAGCAATATATACGTCCTTCTTGACGACCTTCTGTACTCTCCGAATAATAACATGCCCCAAAATGTGCTCACAAGTGGTAATGCCTGTATATCAAAACCGATTTTATAAGATAAAAGAAAATAAAATGTTTCTCTTTGCAGAATCTATGCAAAATGAAATTATAGGCAAAATTGTAAGTGTATCCTCTAAGGCCTCGTTTACTTAAGCTGATAGGATAGGATATAGTTGGATAACCCTTGTTATCCAACGTTTACTAACCATGATGAGATTGGATAATTAATAAGTCGATATGTCATGTGGATCCTACGCTTTTATCCCGTCTTGGCGGATTGTTTTGTCTAGAGGGTGGGACAATTTAATCCCACCTTATAAATAGCAATTTTGTCCAAAAATTTGTATGAGAACTGTCCCTTTTATCCTTAGAAGTTCACCAAATTACAGATTTATGACATATAAAATTGTCCTGTGGGTCCCACACGTTTACCTCATATTTTTAGCTTTTTATCCTATCATTTTATCTAGGTTAGTAATTGCTTGATTGTTTTTACGTTAAAATGCATCATTTTTTGTAACAAAGCAAAGTTGATGAGATTAAACTGTATAATCCCACCATTTTAAGTAAACGAGGCCTAAGAGAATTTTCAATTTATATTATGCTTTGTATAATATAAACTGAAACCTGAACGGCATCAGCTGCAGCATATCCAGCAGCCTGGCCACCCATGAACTGAAGCCCATTTCCAAAACCACACAAAAGCCCAGCAAGTAAGGCCCAGGCCCGACCATTCCAGTCCAACAGATAAGCCTTGATTGAGGACTTTGGCAGATCCAAAACGGGGCGGTACAAGAAGCTTATGTTGAGAATAACAGCAATCACAAAGCACGAAACCGAGAAGTAGAAAAATGCAGTGTACACACTCAAGTGTGGGACTTTGTCTCTTAAAGTACTCCACTGATCGTTAGTTGCAAGATTGAAAGCCGGAGAAAATAGAGAAAAACATATCCCGGCAAAGAAAGTGATTCCCAGCCCAATGAAAGTGCTCTTCCCAAAAACCTGTAACAAAATTTTAATTATTTTCATCAAGGGAAGAAAAGTTGGCAATAATAATCAGGAATTTATAAATTTGAAAGGGAACAACTGTACAAATATAAACCTTAATTGCCCTTTTATTCTCGAGCTCGACTAGAAAATCTGCTGTTCCGAATCTCGCCTTTTCCTTAATGCTGCCACCCTCTTTCTCCACATCTGTTAGCATAAATATGAAAAGGTAACCAATTTTTTCATAATAGCAGCACACAAAAACAGGATATTTTTCTACCTTTGTTTGCAAAATTTTCTTGGGAGATATAAGCATCTTTTTTCCTGCACAAATTTTTTCATAATAGCAGTACAGTTAATTGAAAACTGAAATCTGAATATTATATCTATAACCATATTTTTTTTATACAANGTACATTGTCCCGTTTTTTCCATCAAACTTAGCTTTATTATCTGCAGCACTGGATGAATGAAGGGCAGAGCCAAAACAAACAGCAATAAGAAAGCAAGCAACGCCAGGAAATAAAATCTCGGCCCTGTTGATTTTGTCGTCCAAGAAATAATTCATAGTTGTTCCTAAATCAGTGTGAAAACAGGACAATTCATATAAAAAAGGCTAAAAAGAAGAGATAAAATATCGGAAAAAACAACGAACCTCAAATTATAGTCTCGAATTTTACCTATGACTACTGTTATGCTTGATGTGATGACTTCTGTTACTGACAAGCCAACAAAAGCCCAAGCGTATTGTGTCGATAAATTCCCGACACTTAGAAAAATCCCACCAATCATCGCGAAAATCACACTCGGCCAATTATCCTGCATTTATATTTATGTACACACACAAATGCAGCTTGATAACAAAACACAGTCAACTAATCTACGCACGCTATTATATCATGCCAATCAATCTTAACCAAACGAAAACGTGAACAAATTATTAGTAAGAACGATTTAATGTTTTTGACCTGAGATAGCTGATTGATGAAATTTGGCTTCTGATTCGGGTTTTTACCAATCTGGCCGAATGTGAAGGCGATTATGAGGGCAGCCAATAGATTCGTGATGGTGTAGTCGAGATAAGTGTGCTGAGGTAAGCGGCCCCGCCTTTCTAAGAGAGTTAAAAGGGCAGGCCACGTGCCCAAGAAAAGCAAAGAGAGTATCATGCATGCTATTGCGCCTTCTTTACTCTCGATTACAAGCATTTTTGGAAAGATTCTTGTTGATGGGCTTAGTAGAATTTTGAGGAATGCCGAATTTGTACTGTTGGTTGATCAAAGATGGGAATACAAATTTGTCAAATACAGAAATATCTCAAGCATGGGACAAAATGGAATGCTTTTTTAAGTAAGTAAACATATGATGAACAAGTGCTTGCTATATTATATGGGATTAGTTATTGCAACCTAGTTTTGATTTGCTATGGGGAAAGGAAATACAAGAACAAAAAACAGTTAAAATTGCAAAAAAAAAAAAATAATAATAATAATAATAATAATAATAATAATAATAATAATTCCCCCATTTGTTTCTCTTCTTCTTACAGGGGGATGATCTTGTAGAACAACTAATACCCTGTGAAGGTTTTTCTATCACTATACGTACAAAACTTGAAAGTTTCAGAAGGGAACTACTAGATAATATGAATAATTGATAATTTGTGAAGGGGACAAAAAACAAAACACTAGACTAATTTCAAGAAATACAGATTAAAAAAAAATACAGAGCAATTAGAGGTAAATAAATGAGCAAATCACNAACTTGCTCTTGGATTGTGGGGTTTCTTTAATGAAATCCAAGTGATTAAAAGGCCAAAAGAAAAGGAAAAAAAAAAAAAGGAACAACAAAAATGTGTTTTGGGTAGAAATATCAAATATCTACCTATGAAGATGCAAAAATCAGTATTTAAAGAACACCCGGCAAGCTTTAATTCCCCATCTCTCACACAACAAAAACAATTTCTGGTAATTTGCAACCTCAACCTTGTATTTTGCAGTGACAGGCCTCAAAGAGACCTCTGAGTGAAATTTCAAGAAAAGAATGCAAAGAGGACAGCATTCACCAAACACATGCACACAAATGTGTAAAAAAAGCGCATACAAATATGACCATTATTGGCACTTGGCAACCTAGTGACTAATTTTTTTTATTTTTTTATTTTTTAAGAAATTAAATTCCAGCCATTAGGGAATAAGAATAATAAGATGAGGAATCATAAAATTTCAATGGCGTGGTGATCCGGGAATCTCTTGTGAGATCCTTAAATCAAAGTGTGAGGACGTGCACATTATTTCAAACCATTGCAGTTTATTTATTTTATGGCAATTAGTCAAATTTGCATACATAATAATATAAAGTATGGCCACCTTTATTGAAAGCCTCAATATGTGACCTTATGGTTAGAAAATATCTCCACCAGCCCAATCCGAAAAGAAGTAGATGGTGAACGATTATTTACCCTAATTTAAGGGAAAAAAATTTAGACCAACCTGAACTTTGCATGGTTTGTGAAAATGCAACCTAATCTTTTTATTTTGATAAATAGCAACCTGAACTACACGGGTTTGGTAAATAACAACCCCAACGTGCCGGATCGCATAAAATTAACCGGAAACTTACTCTGGTGAGCTACAGATTGGTCTATTAAGGGGCACTTTGGTCTTATCATTTAATTTGTAAGGGCATCCTTGTCTTTCGCCCAACACACAATTTTCCCGCTATTTTTGAGGCACAATTAGGGAAATTAGGGCAAATTTCTGGCATTTTTTTTCTTTCCTTCGAGCATTATGCACAAATCAGAAAATTAGGGTAGATTTGTGCAACTCAAATCACGCTCACTTGCCATTCTGCAACTCAAAATGGGTTGGAAGATTCGCGATCAAGAGACTGACATTCCCTCTGATAGAATGACGCCCGATTATGGTGAGTGTATGTGCTTTTGATTTTATGTATTCTGTCGACCAATTTATGATTTTTGAGTTTGGGTTTATGCATTCTGTCGGCCAATTTATGATTTTTGAGTTTGGGTTTATGTATTCTGTCGACCAAATTGTAAATGAGTTTGGGTTTATGGATTCTGTCGACCAATTTATGACTTTTGAAATAAGTTCATATCAATGTGTTGAAACACTTTTTGTTCTTACAGGTGTTAACTCCGCATTATTTACAATTAGGTTCTATCACAATGGTTCATTGCCTAACCTAGACGGTACACATTACATGGGCCCGAATTGTGGTATATCTCATATTGATTTTTGTGATCCTGATGAAATATCATTGCTTGAGCTTAAGTGTATGGCTAAGGATATAGGTTTATCTATGATTAAGTCATTTCACTGTAGTAAAACTGAAATACATGAATGTAAGGACCTTTTTATCCTAGAGACTGATAATGATGTTTGCAACATGGTTCAGTGGGTTGATAAGAACAAGATGATTGGCATATATGTTGAACATGAAAATGAGATGGAGAATGGAATATTTTCTGAACTTCCTGTCATAGATGAGCCTTTACCTTATTGTGGGGATATTGATTTATGTGATGCATATAGTGTAGAGGAGGAGGTTCTACCAGAAGTAGACAATGTAGATGGGGAGGGGTTAGAGAACATAACTGATCAGGTAGAGCTTGATAGTGACTATGAGCAATCTGTTGGTTCAGATTCTAACTATTCTGATGCATTATATGAGAGTGATGAAGAGATGTATGATGAAGATGATATTCTCTTTGATGGTAATGTTGATGAGGAGGTGGAATGGGGGGGCCTTCATTTGAATAATAGCATTACTGAGAGCTCTAACATTCCTGTCCCTGATCTAAATATGAGAAAACAGTAAAACAAGCACCCAGTGTTTAATAAGGAATTAGACATGAAAAATCCTAGCTTTGAGCTGGGAATGCAATTCCCTGTCATTCCTATTTTTAGGAAGGCTGTTAAAAATCACTCCATTATGCAAGGTAGGCAAGTCACTTTCACTATTAACTTTAGCTACAAGGTGCAGGCAAAGTGTAAACATAAATCATGTCCATGGGTCATCTATGCATCTAAGCTTGGAAATGAAGATACTGTCCAAATTAAAACCTACAATGGTAGGCACAGATGTCCAAGGACACAAAAAAAACTCTCATGCTACTGCTACTTGGATTGCCAATCAATACAAAGATAAGCTGCTAAGTGATCCTAGATGGCCAGTGGAGAGTATGGTGGCAATAATGCAAAGGGAAGTGAAGCTGATTTTCAACAAATGGCAGATGTATCAGGCCAAGAAAATTGTGAAAGCCATAGGTGTTGGGACAGATGCTGAGCAATATGGAATGTTGTGGTCATATGCAAAGGAATTGATAAAATCAAATCCCGATACCACAGTCAAAATTAAGAGCAAGTTAGTGGAAGGTAAGCCAATATTTAAAAGAATGTATATTTGTTGGGGTGCTTTGAAGAAGGGTTTTAGGGAAGGATGTAGACCTGTTATTTGTTTAGATGGATGTCACTTAAAAACCTCTTGTGGTGGAATCTTGTTGACAGCAGTTGGTATAGATGCAAATAACTGCATGTATCCATTTGCTTATGCAGTGGTGGAACAAGAAAACACAAAATCTTGGCACTGGTTTATAGAGTTGCTGAAGTCAGATCTTTGTATTAAAAACAACCACAGTTGGACTATAATGTCTGACAAACTAAAGGGTCTATTAATGCTGTTGAGACTCTTATGCCCGGTTGTGAACATAGATTTTGTGTTCAGCACCTATACAACAATTTCAAGGCTTCATTTAAAGGTGTGTTGCTCTGAAAAGCATCTTGTGGAGGGCTGCCAGGTCTACAAGAGTTGTTGATTTTCATTGACTGAACTAGAAAAAAGGGATAAACAAGCATTTGACTGGTTAGTTAAAAAACCTGCAGCACAATGGTCTAAGTCACATTTTGGTTTCCAAGCTAAAAGTGACATTTTGTTGAACAACCTGAGTGAGAGTTTTAACTCTTTAATTCTGAGAGCTAGAAGTAGTCCTATAGTTCATATGCTTGAAACTATTAGGATGATACTCATGAAGAGAATGTATATGAGGAGGGACCAAATGATGAATTATAATGGATTTATATGCCCCGAAATTGTGAAGTTGTTGGAAGAACTCAAAAAAAGGTCCTTTAAAGTTTCTGGGAAACACCGCATTTTGAGCTGGTCCTCGGTTAGCCCATGCAAAGGGAACGTCTAGAGGACGTTGTAAAACTCCCAAAGAAAGTGGAGTGGGTCTTCATTGGGGAGCCCGTGGAATGATGGGAGGTGATTGTAGTGGACCATCTTCAGCTCATAATTTCGGGCGTCGTGCTCCAGCCGGATACAGGAGGTGATTGTCCCAATCATGGGTTGGGCCAGGTTCCGAAGGATATTGCGAGGCAGTTGTTGATCAGCCATATCTGAGTTACTCCCCTCAGATGATTCTGGTCGGTGCTCGCCTTCTTCGTTTGATTCTATAGTAAGCTCGTCTAGCAGTTCTCTCAGGCTCTCGTTGAAGGGTTTGTTGATTGGAGAGAGTTTACGTCCACTCCTGGTACGCATACACTCAAACAAACAACGGGTTACGAGCACCAATGGTAAAGAAAAGAAAATAAAATAAGAAAAAGAAACACAGAAAACAAGAAAAACACAAAACCAAAAAGAAACACAAAAAATAAAATGAGTAAGCGCACAAAATATGTCCTAAACCTTCCCCGGCAACGGCGCCAATTTGTTGTAAATATTTTTTCGGAGTAGAATCAACAGATTCGAACATCGGGTCGTGTCTCACGAGGAAGGTCAGCCGGAATACTTTGCACGTTTATTCAAACACTAATAAAAGAAATAAAGTTCCTAAACATTCTAAATCAAAGATTGGTTTTGGTTTAATTATCAACTACTGCAAAAATTCAAATTAAGCAATAAAGAAAGCAAGTAACGAAGAACAATTAGGGTTTGAGTAGCTAGGGAATCGGGGAGATCCGTTTTGGTTCGAATTGCAATTAATGGGCAAGTGATTATTCAGCTAAGTGATTTGACTAATCGACACGTCCAAGCACTCATTCTCAATAACTTTTCGTAACAAGAGAACAAACTAGAACGGCAAATTAACAATTCATTTAACTTCTAGACAATACAGTTACGAACAAGCCTAGTTCATACGAGCCTATTTCGACCGACTCCTCCCCTTTCGGTTCTAAGAGTCGATTAAAGTAGACTAGAGGGTGGTTAACCGACTAATCAAATAGATTCCCAATTTCAAGCACGAATAAATCAAATTCAATCGGAACAATTGTAAGCTGAAGTGTCACCCTTCAACAATTATCAATATTCAAGCTTGTCAGTTGAAAAAGCCTAATAAAAGATTAACTCGCACAAATTGAACAATCTTGAGCCCGACAATCACAAACGATTCCAAAACATCAATCCCCTATCCCAAGCATAAAGATTTAGCCACTCATATTTGAATTATCAACACAAACCACCATAATCAAAGTCAACATATTCATGGATGAGATGTATAGAAAAACTTACGAAATATGGTAATTGAATGTTGAATCTGATAAACAAGCTTAAATCCAAAGAAATAGCAAAATCCAAGATCAAATCCTTGTTCTACGTTGAAAACGATGGAAGAAAAGTGAAAAACGAGTGAAAAGAGAAGGGGGTAGAGTTTTGTGTGTTTTCGTGGGTCAAGGAATCGATGCCCGATTAATAAGATCGCACGGGCATATATACTCTCACGGCATCACGGCGCGATGGAGCTAGCGCGGCGCGGGGCGGCCATCTGTCGCGGCGCGGGATCGTGGTGCTACCGCGGCGCGGGGCTTCTGGACTGCCGCGGCGCGAGGCTTGGACACGGCGCGGTGCTGGGAAGGCGAGGTCCTCAGTCGGGGTCGTGGTGCCACCGCGGCGCGACGCGGGCGCGGGACCTGGACAGGCTGCTGGTACTACTTCACATTTTGGGGTCGTTCGGCCTCGTCCGGTATCGAAATTCGATTCCGTTTTTCCTGTGTGTCGCCAACAAAACGCTCTACCAATTAAGCTAGCCCAAAACATTTTTCTCATTTAAATTACAGTCAACGAGGCACCTGACCTGCACACCACAAACGAACACAAAAGCGAAGAAACCGAGAAACGAGCGAAAAATACAGAAAGACTCTAAGCAGAGGAAAACACGCGATAA